CTCCTGAATGACTACTGGGTACATAACGAAATGAAGGCAGAAATAAAGATGTTCTTTGAAACCAATGAGAACAAAGATACAACATACCAGAATCTCTGGGACACATTTAAAGCAGTGTGCAGAGGGAAATTTATAGCACTAAATGCCCACAAGAGAAAGCAAGAAAGATCTAAAATTGACACTCTAACATCACAATTAAAAGAACTAGAGAAGCAAGAGCAAACACATTCGAAAGCTAGCAGAAGGCAAGAAATAACTAAGATCAGAGCAGAACTGAAGGAGATAGAGACACAAAAAACCCTCCAAAAAATCAATGAATCCAGGAGTTGGTTTTTTGAAAAGATCAACAAAATTGACAGACCGCTAGCAAGACTAACAAAGAAGAAAAGAGAGAAGAATCAAATAGACATAATAAAAAATGATAAAGGGCATATCACCACTGACCCCACAGAAATACAAACTACCATCAGAGAATACTATAAACACCTCTATGCAAGTAAACTAGAAAATCTAGAAGAAAGGGATAATTTCCTGGACCCTTACAATCTCCCAAGACTAAACCAGGAAGAAGATGAATCCCTGAATAGACCAATAGCAGGGTCTGAAATTGAGGCAATAATTAATAGCCTACCAACCAAAAAAAGTCCAGGACCAGATGGATTCACAGCTGAATTCTACCAGAGGTACAAGGAGGAGCTGGTACCAATCCTTCTAAAACTATTCCAATCAATAGAAAAAGAGGGAAACCTCCCTAACTCATTTTATGAGGACAACATCATCCTGATACCAAAGCCTGGCAGAGACACAACAAAAAAGGAGAATTTCAGACCAATATCCCTGATGGACATCGATGCAAAATCCTCAATAAAATACTGGCACACCGAATCCAGCAGCACATCAAAAAGCTTATCCACCATGATCAAGTGGGCTTCATCCCTGGGATGCAAGTCTGGTTCAACATACACAAATCAATAAACGTAATCCAACATGTAAACAGAACCAAAGACAAAAACCACATGATTATCTCAATAGATGCCGAAAAGGCCTTTGACAAAATTCAACAGCCCTTCATGCTAAAAACGCTCAATAAATTTGGTATTGATGGAACATATCTCAAAATAATAAGAGCTATTTATGACAAACCCACAGCCAATATCATACTGAATGGGCAAAAACTAGAAGCATTCCTTTTTGAAAACTGGCACAAGACAGGGATGCCCTCTCTCACCACTCCTATTCAACATAGTATTGGAAGTTCTGGCTAGGGGAATCAGGCAAGAGAAAGAAATCAAGGGTATTCAGTTAGGAAAAGAAGAAGTCAAATTGTCCCTGTTTGCAGATGACATGATTGTATATTTAGAAAGCCCCATGGTCTCAGCCCAAAATCTCCTTAAGCTGATAAGCAACTTCAGCAAAGTCTCAGGATACAAAATCAATGTGCAAAAATCACAAGCATTCTTATACACCAGTAACAGACAAACAGAGAGCCAAATCATGAATGAACTCCCATTCACAATAGCTTCAAAGAGAATAAAATACCTAGGAATCCAACTTACAAGGGATGTAAAGGACCTCTTCAAGGAGAACTACAAATCACTGCTCAGTGAAAAAAAAGAGGACACAAACAAATGGAAGAACATACCATGCTTATGGATAGGAAGAATCAAGATTGTGAAAATGGCCATACTGCCCAAGGTTATTTATAGATTCAATGCCATCCCCATTAAGCTACCAATGACTTTCTTCACAGAATTGGAAAAAACTGCTTTAGAGTTCATATGGAACCACAAAAGACACCGCATTGCCAAGACAATCCTAAGCAAAAAGAACAAAGCTGGAGGCATCACGTTATTTGACTTCAAACTATACTACTAGGCTACAGTAATGATAACAGCATGGTACTGGTACAGAGATATAGACCAATGAAACAGAACTGAGCCCTCAGAAATAATACCACACATCTACAGCCATCTGATCTTTGACAAAACTGACAAAAACAAGAAATGGGGAAAGGATTCCCTATTGAATAAATGGTGCTGGGAAAATTGGCTAGCCATAAGTAGAAGGCTGAAACTGGATCCTTTCCTTACTCCTTATACGAAAATTAATTCAAGATGGATTAGAGACTTAAATGTTAGACCTAAAACAATAAAAACCCTAGAAGAAAACCTAGGCAACACCATCAGGACATAGGCATGGGCAAGGACTTCATGTCTAAAACACCAAAAGCAACGGCAACAAAAGCCAAAATTGACAAATGGGATCTAATTAAACTAAAGAGCTTCTGCACAGCAAAAGAAACTACCATCAGAATGAACAGGCAACCTACAGAATGGGAGACAGTTTTTGTAATCTACTCATCTGACGAAGGGCTAATATCCAGAACCTACAAAGAACGCACACAAATTTACAAGAAAAAAACAAACAACCCCATCAAAAAGTGGGCAAAGGATATGAACAGACACTTCTCAAAAGAAGACATTCTTACAGCCAACAGACACATGAAAAAATGTTCATCTCACTGGCCATCAGAGAAATGCAAATCAAAGCCACAATGAGATACCATCTCACACCAGTTAGAATGGCAATCATTAAAAAATCAGGAAACAACAGGTGCTGGAGAGGATGTGGAGAAACAGGAACACTTTTACACTGTTGGTGGGACTGTAAACTAGTTCAACCATTGTGGAACACAGTGTGGCAATTCCTTAAGGATCTAGAACTAGAAATACCATTTGACCCAGCCATCCCACTACTGGGAATATACCCAAAGGATTATAGGTCATGCTGCTGTAAAGACACATGCACACACATGTTTATTGCGGCACTATTCACAACAGCAAAGACTTAGAATCAACCCAAATGTCCATCAGTGACAGACTGGATTAAGAAAATGTGGCACATATGCACCATGGAATACTATGCAGCCATAAAAAAGGATGAGTTTGTGTCCTTTGTATGGACATGGATGCAGCTGGAAACCATCATTCTCAGCAAACTATCACAAGAACGGAAAACCAAACACCACATGTTCTCACTCATAGGTGGGAATTGAACAATGAGATCACTTGAACACAGGAAGGGGATCATCAGACACTGGGTCCTATTGTGGGGTGGGGGGAAGGATAGCATTAGGAGATATACCTAATGTAAATGACGAGTTAATGGGTGCAGCACACCAACATGGCACATGTATACATATGTAACAAACCTGCACATTGTGCACATGTACCTTAGAACTTAAAGTATAATAAAAATAAAAAGAAACATTTTATTAGTATTTGGTTTGAATCCATGATAATTAGTATTTATGAGAAAGTAATAAAACTATATTCATTTAAAAATAAAAAAAAAAGAATTCACTGTGAAGTGCCTGGCATATATGAACAGTAGCTCAGTCATTCAACCAATGTTTATTGAGCACCTACCATGTGTCAGATGCTTTAACAGTGGGGACACAGTGGTAAACAAATGATACCTGCCCTCTTGGATCTCACAATTGCTCAATAAATAGTTGCCATTCCAATAGGTATATGAAAAGGTACTCAACATCACTAATCATCAGGGAAATACAATCCAAACTACAATGAGATATCATCTCACAGCTGTTAGGATATCTATTTTATATATATATATATAAAGAACAAAAACAAAGATAAGTGTTGGCTAGGCTGTTGAGAAACTGAAATCCTGGCACACTGCTGGTAGGAATGTAAGATGGTGCAACTGCTATAGAAAACAGTATGGAGGTTCATGAAAAAAATTAAAAATAGAAATACTGTATGATCTAACAATCCCATTTGGGGGATTTATCCAAAAGATTTGAAATCAGGACCTCAAAGAGATATTTGCACTACCATGTTAATTGTAGCATTATTCACAGTAGCCAAGAGGTGGAAATCACCTAAATGTTCACTGCTGGATGAAAGGATAAAGAAAATGTGGCATACTGTACACGCAGTAGAATATTATTCAGCTTTAAAAATATTCTACCATATGCTACAACTTGAAAGAGCCTGGAAGACATTATGCAAAGTGAAATAAGCCAGTCACAAAAGGACAAACACTGCATAATTTCACTTACATAAGGATCTAAATGTATCTAAGGTCAAACACATAGAAACAGAGTAGAATGGTGGTTGCTAGCATATGGGGCAGGTTAAATGGAAAGTTATTATTCAAGGCATATGAAGTTTTAGTTATGCAAGATGATTAAGTTCTGGAGATCTGCTATACAAAATTGTGCCTCTGGTTAACAACACTGTACCGTACACTTAAAAATTTTTAAGAGGTAGATCTCATGTTACTTGTTCTTTAAAAAAAAAAAGAAAGAAATATTATAAATCTAGATCATGGTAATCTAGATCATGTTTGCATAACTCTGTAACCTTACTAAAATGTATTGGATTATACACTTAAAAGGATGAGTTTTATTATATATAAATTACACATCTCAATAAAGCAGTTTTGCAAAAATAGTTGCCATTAATTTAACAGTCCCATTTCTTTCAAGCCTTCGTTCAATATCACCACTCCCCTCCCTGTTTCACTTTTTTTCATAGCCACCTTTTAATATACTATAGTTTATTTATCATATGTAATCAATTCTAAGTTTCACATTTTAACATACATAAAATCAAGATGCATTCTATAATGGCAACAATTTATTAGCAGCATTCTTTCTTTCTTTAGTGGCACATAGACTAACAGTGCATCTTGTATCACTGCCATCTTACAGACAATAAACTGTGCTGTTGTGTTATAGTTTCTTGCCTTTTTTCCCCTCTAGAATGTTTGCTTCACACTGGTAGGGATCTTTATTTCATTCACTGCTGTATTCCAAATGTCTAGAATAGTGCCTAGAATGTCATAGGTTATTGATAAACATTTGTTGAATGAATAAATGAGTGAATGAATGGGTGTCATGCCTAGCATCAAGAAACTGATACTAAAACAAAGGAACTGAAATTAAAAGATGAGTTAATAATAGAGCAACCTACTTTCATCATTTCCTCTTCTGTTCTATCTGCAGGACACTGGGGAAATAGCCTAGTTTTGAAGAATGTCAGCAGGGAGCCGCCAGGGATCATCCTCCCAGGTAAAAAGAGACCTCCAGAGACCTTCAGGAAGCTGGAAAGAAGCCTCCAATGGTGAACTCAGTCCCAGAAGCTTCTGTCCATGCCATCTCACCCTTGAAGTGCTAATTCACCACTTTCACTAGAGATGCTGAAGGTAGCCCTGTCTTGCCTGGAAAGTGACTGGAGTGGTCCCACCAGCAGCCAATCTCTTTTAAACACTCCCTAATTGTCCAGGAGTCAATCCCCTGCCCCCAAAAGCAGGCTGAATCAGTTCCTTTTGTCCTGTGAGTGGTGAATGACCTGCTCTCCTGATCTGCCTGGAGGTCCCTGAGGTTAGGTTTTGGGTGCAAGCGTTTCCCTTGAGAGTCCGGAGAGGCTGTGCAGGCATTCATTATCCATGGCCCCAGGCAGAACCCACACCAGGCCAAGGTGTGTGTGGATGGGAATGTGTAAATTCCTTGTTAGACAAGTCCTGTGCTCTGTTTCACATTAGCTAATGTCCACCAACCCAGTCACCGACCGTTTATGGTTTTCCTTTAGTTTCATATAACAAATTTTATTATTGTCCTCTGGAAGGGATTGAAGAGTCAAAGAGCCAGGAAAACCCATTTGAGGGACGAGTAAACCCTCCCATAGAAGCAATATCCCTTCCTTGAGCAGCTTTGAGTTCTTGGACTTTGTTCTTCACATTTTTGTTTCTCTTTCCATCATTTCTCATTAGGCACAGTGCCTAGGGTTCATGGTACTCTTAGGGACCCACAAAAATGTGTGAGTTTATTTTAAAATCAAGAAGGAAAAAAACAAACTTTTGGGGTTAAAAAAAATTCCATTATTGCTCACATCTAAAATAATGAAATTTTCAAGGTCTAGGAAAATTTAGACTTTGTCTAAAATAAAAATTAAATACAATGTTGAATAATTTAAAGTTGTATCAAAAATCATGTAAAAATCAATATCGCATTATGGAGGAAAGGGCCCGTAAAACTCATCTTGCAGCCTTGAGGTTATCAGATGAGAAAAGTGATCTTGTCAGACTGAGAAACCTGGTGGACCCACGACATTCAGATCCCTGGCAAACAGCTGAGAGAATTGTTAGGGGAAAAGACAATTGTTAAGGGAAAATGCTGGGACTAACATTTCTTGAGTGTCACTCTATGGTAGGCTTGGTGCAAGGCATTTTAGGGATATTATCTCACCGAAGCCCTACAGCAACTCTGAGAAATCATATAATCATGGAGCTTTACAGAGAGTTTAAAGAACTGCTACCTGACCGCCCCCATCTCTCTGTACATTTCTCTTTCTTAAAAATAAATAAATAAGTAAATAAATTCACATGCTAATAAATCCTTCTCAAATTACCTTATCCAAATGTTGATTTTGATTTTTTTAATGAAGATTTTTAGTCTTTAATTTTTTAATTTTTTTGAGATGGAGTCTTGCTTTGTCTCCCAGGCTGGAGTGCAGCGGTGTGATCTCAGCTCACTGAAGCCCCACCTCTTGTGTTCAAGCGATTCTCCTGCCTCAGCCTCCCAAGTAGCTGAGACTACAGGCGGGCACCACCATGCCCGGCTAGATTTTCTGTATTTTTAGTAGAGATGGGGTTTCGTCATGTTAGCTAGGCTGGTCTCGAACTCCTGGTCTCAAGTGATCTGCCCACCTCAGCCTCCCAAAGTGCTGGGATTACAGGTATTTTTTATCTTTAAATTAGAACCAGAAAGACAGACATTGACTATCAAAGACGTGATTTGGGTTTCACACAGGTTTGGACTGCATTCTAGGATGCACCTGGGGTCTTGAGGCACTCAGTTGCCTAAGGCAGCCCGCCTTGGAGAATGGGTGGTTTTTACTTATTTTTTGAAACACGTTTCCTATGTCCAAAGGTAATTTAAAGAAAAACAATTTCACAATCAAGTTTTGGTTGTGTTGGCCCTCATGCAAACACCCACGCTGTCCTCAGAATGTGGCCTAAGGGCCATTCAATTAGAAAGCACAAAAGATAAAGCTTACCCACTGGAAACAAAATGTTGCAAAATCTCTCCTGCAATAGTTTGGATATGGTTCATTTGTCCCCACCAAAGCTCATGTTGAGATTTTATCGCCACCATGGCAACATCGGGAGTTGGGGGCTAGTGGAAGGTATTTGGGCCATGGGGGTGGATCCCTTATGAATGGCTTGGTGCTGTTCTCATGTTAGTGAGTTCTCACTCTCTCAAGACTGGATTAGTTCTCCCAGAAATAGATTAGTTCCTCAAGAGTGTGTTGTTACAAAGCCAGGACATCCCTCAGGTTTCCCCCTCTTCCCCCTGTCTGCTTCTCCTTACTGTTGTTCGCTAGGTTGTAATGTAGCATGAAATCCCTTACGGAAAGCAAGAGCCATGCCCTAGCACTTCTCAGCCTGCAGAACCAAGAGCCAGGTAAACTTCTTTTCTTTATAAATTACTCAGTCTCAGACATTCTTTTATAGCAACACAAAACAGACTAAGACATGGCCCTAGAAAAACAAACAGTGCTGACTTCAGAAGCTGTAGCTTCTTGCTGAGACAACTTGCCTTATTTGTTTATTCAGTGCCTTTGAGCACCTATTGTGTTGTGTGTGGGGCACTGTGCTGGAGGCTGGAGGTTAAAACATAAATGGGATCTAGTCCCAGATCTCAAGTCACTCGAGTCTAATAAGGACAACCATGCTGGCCCGAGCCACTATAGCACCTTGCCTGGACTGTGGCAGGAGCCTCCTCGCTGGTCCCCCTACATTTACCCTTCTCTTCAGGACACAGGATGCTGTTTAAACATGCGTGAGCCCACACCCCTTTCTGCTCAGTATCCTCCAACATGCCCCACCTCACTCATGCCACAACCTCAAGGCTTCCATTGCTACTCTCTGACCCCATCTTATGCTTCTCTTTCCCTTGCTTGCTCTGCTCCAAGCACAGTGGCCTTTGTGCTTTTTCTAAATCAGGCCAAGCCCACTCCCACATCAATGGTTCTTTATTTACTATATTTTTGGCCGAGAATACTCATCTCCAGATGCTCCTCACCTGCTCAGGATTTAACTCAAATGTCATTGCAGTGAAGGCTTCCCCAATGCCCTAGTCAGTATGACAGCTTCCACCCATGTGGGAGCCTCCATGTACTCCATCTCTGAATTATTTTGTTTCATTGCACTCAGCATCATCTAACCATTGTGTATTTTACTTATTTTTCACTGACTCCCCTTTGCTTCTTTTTTTTTTTTTTTTTTTTTTTTTTTTTACATAGAGTCTCGCTCTGTTGCCCAGGCTGGAGTACAGTGGTGCAATCTCTGCTCACTGCAACCTCCACCTCCCAGGTTCAAGTGATTTTCTGCCTCAGTCTCCCAAGTAGCTGGGATTACAAGTGCATGCCACCATGCCCAGCTAATTTTTTTGTATTTTTAGTAGAGACAGAATTTCCCCATGTTGGCCAGGCTGGTCTCAAACTCCTGAGCTCAGGTGATCTGCCCACCTCGGCTGCCCAAAGTGCTGGGACTACAGGCATGAGCCACCGTGCCAGACCATCCCTTTGCTTCTTGAAAGCAAATGTTTTACCTGTTTTGTGTCCAACGGTATCCCTAGTGCCTAGGATAGTGCCTAGCATATAGTAGTTGCTCAATAAGAATGTACTTATTTTTTGAATAAATAAACAAGTGACTGAATAAGACATTCAGGTAAAACAACAACCATAAAAATATTAACCAGATATGGTTTTTTGAGAACGCAGAGGGTGAATCCTCTTTGCTTTCAGAAATTGGGAAGAGGTGATTTTGTGCTTAATCTTAAAGAATAAGTAGTACTTGGCCAGGCTTTAAAAAGGGAGAAAAGCACTCAAGTAGAGGGAACAGTGTAAGCAAATGAATGTTTTCATTTGGGAACGTCAAGTGGCCTGGGTTCAATGGATACAAATTGTCTGGGTACATAGGACATATATGGAAGAAAGAGTGGCATGAAACCAGGTTGGAAATACAGACAGACGCCAGATGACATCATAATATGGAGTTTTGGCTCTCTTCTTCAGGTGATGGAGAGCTACTGAAGCCTCTTAAGCAGAAGAGAGATCCAATTAGACTTATGTTTTAAGACTTCTCTGGAGGTGGTATAGAGAAAAAAATTGTGGGAAAGGTGGGAATTGGAGGAAAAGAGAGGATGGATTTAAGAGATATTGGGAGAGTAGGCCAAAGGACTTGCTGACCCATGGTTGTGGAAGAAGAAAATGTCTTGAGCAGAAAAAAACTAGAATGACTCCCTGTGTTTCTTCTCAGGTAATTAAGGTAAACATATAAATTCACCCAAGAAATGTGTATTGAGAACCTATTATGTAGTAGATACTAATCTAGGCACTGGGAATACAGCTTTGAACAAAATTTTAAAAGCCCTAATTTTAGGACCTTACATTCCACTGGAGGACTGTCAGTAAATATATGAAGAGATAATGTAATTTCAGCCTGCGAGAAGCTTTCTGAAGAAGAGTAAAGCATGATATAAGGATAGGGCACAATGTTTATTTTATGCAGGAGTCAGACTTTTCTGAGGAGGTGATGTTAGAGCAGAGACTAAGGGAGAAAGCTATGAGAAGTCCCGGGGAGAAGATATCCAGGCAAAGGGGATAGTGAGCATATAGATCCTCTACTAAAACAAGACATTCTTGTTCAACAAACAACGAAAAGGAAAAAAGTAGGCAGGGGCTGGATTCTTATAGCCTTGACCACCATAATAGTAAGTATGAATTTTATTTATTTATTATTTATTTATTTATTTATTGAGATGGAGTTTGACTCTGTTGCCCAGGCTGGAGTGCAGTGATACTATCTCGGTTTACTGCAACCTCCGCCTCCCAGGTTCAAGCAATTCTTCTGCCTCAGCTTCCCAAGTACCTGGGATTACAGGTGCCCATCACCACGCCCAGGTAATTTTTGCATTTTTAGTAGAGATGGGATTTTACCGTGTTGGCCAGGCTGGTCTCTAACTCCCGACCTCAAGTGATTTGCCTGCCTTGGCCTCCCGAAGCGTTGGGATTACAGGTGTGAGCCATTACACCCAGCCATGAGTGTGGATTTTAATCTAAGTGTGATGGGAAGCCATTGGATGGGTTTAAGCAGGAGAAAGACATAATTTGACTTATGTTTTTGTTGTCATTTTAAATCACTCTGGTTCTGGGGAACAGAACAAATTTGAGAGA